CCATATTGGAAGGGTCAACTTGACGTCATTCACCATAATAATCAATGAATATTCGAAGATGCCACAATCCTTATATATCTGTGGTTCCGCCCATCTCTCGCATTCTCACCTGTGAAAGGTTATCCTGTTTCTTCGGGAATTTAATTCCCGGAGGTTTTTACAACCATCGGCTGTGCAGGATTGAGGCGTCTTCGAATATTCATTGATTATTATGGTGAATGACGTTAAGTTGACCGTTAAAGATGGCGGACGCGTCTACGTGCTTGGAGCTGTCGAATGAGGCATCTACCTATACATATCTATGCTTCTAACGGCAGCTGCAGATGACTTTACCAATTAGCGATTGGCTCTTTTACTCAGAAGGTGGGGCTTCCTTTGATAGAGCGGTCATATTGAGCATTGCATTGCACATCTCAAATATATTAGATAATATTGAAGTGTATAAAATACTTCAGAAATGTCATTTTCATTTCATCATTCTTCAGTAAATGTACAAAGATAGCCTATTCAAGGCACTGTATTTCTTCGTCATATTTCCTCTAATAAATATATTAGATAATATTGAAGTGTATAAAATATACACATAAAACATACACGTAAAAAATTTATAACCTGAATGCACTGTAAGTCGCTTTGGATAAAAGCGTCTGCTAAATGCATAAATTATTATTATTATTATATAAAATTATTCAGAAATGTCATGTTCGTGATTTTTTTTATTATTATTTGTTAATTAGTTATTTAAAGTCCCCATGAAATCAAAAGTTTTTTGTTTTTTAGTATGAATATGTTAGCCTTGAGGCCCCGATATACTCAAAATGAAGTTCGTTCTTCGTTTAGGGGTAAAACGAAGTTCGAAATACGTGAGCAGCAGTATACTGTTATCGAACATCCTGACACCGCCCACTCTGATGAAAGCAACATTTATGCAACATAACATGAATATGTAAATATGTGCTGTGCGCTTTCCTCTCAGTAACAAAATAAACACAACAAAAACGGAGAAAACAGCAAGCATTTTTTAATAAAAAAGCATCTGTTCATAGCAACATGGGTATGCTTGCACGAGCTCTGCAAATTCCCGTGACGTCACGTGTATTTACATGGCACTTTATTCAATATATTGCTTAAATATATATACTCAGCAGTATTAAACATGAAAAACAGTGTCAGTGTCTCATTTAATTAAAAGCAAAACTTAATTTGCTACTATAAAGCAGCTCTCCACTGTGCGGATATCTCACCTCCAAGGACTCGACAGATGAAATGTACCCAGAGAAGAGTTCCGTGTGAAAGAAGGCGGAGCCTCAGCGCACACCTCCTATGACATAATCGTCACAGACCAATGGTAGTACGAAGGTGTTTTGCAGCCGGGAACAAACTGTTCCGGAAAGTTTGGCTTTGGCAAGCCGTTTCGAACTCCCAAAACAAACACAAAAAGAACTTCGGTTTGCCTGAATTTTGTTCGAAATGAAGTCACGTCAGTTCGTTCTTCGATTTCGCTTGAAGTATATCGGGGCCTTAAGGTTATCTATAAGCTAGTGTGCAACAAAACAATAACTAAATTCGCATTTAGAAGATATAAGCATTCAAAACTAACTTACAGTCTCTCACTTCCGCCGATAGAGTGGTAGAACTATGACGTCACTTTGTAGGCCAATCGGCTGTTAGCATCACACTGGTTCCCTCGACAAAGACCCAATAGGATTTTTCCATAGTCTTTTGGATTATCGCAAAAAATAAGCTCTGTGTTCAACCATAGTTCAGGATACTTATACGTTTTGTCCATCAAGGTAATATTCACAAAATAATATAACTTATGAATTTTTTAGCCTAAATACCAGAACTAAAAAGCTAAACTTAGGCTATAAACAAACTACACCACAGTCGCTCGCCTTCAACGTCACCACCTCCATTCTTCCAAACTATTTCAAACATATTTTTAGAAACATGTTCAGTGAAAAGGATTTACTCTGTGGATGAATTTTATTTTTCATATAAAAACTGGAATAATTACAAAACTAGAGCCAAACTAAAACTGAAATGAAACATTAATAATAAATAGTAAGTAGTGAATAAATGAAATTTAGGCTAAATTAAACGTAAGCACATATGAAAGCATGTATTTCTGTACATTTCGAAATAAAGTGCCTTAAGAGTCAATAAATCCTTGATTAATATGAATATTTTAATTAAAAAAACGTGTCTCCACATAGTATTCAATAGAATTCTAGCGCATTTAATCTATTAAATAACAGCAGAGTGAGCAAGTTTTTGGATATGGTAAGATTACATTTATTTTAGATAAATTATTATTATTATTATATAAAATTATTCAGAAATGTCATGTTCGTGATTTTTTTTATTATTATTTGTTAATTAGTTATTTAAAGTCCCCATGAAATCAAAAAGTTTTTTGTTTTTTAGTATGAATATGTTAGCCTTGAGGCCCCGATATACTCAAAATGAAGTTCGTTCTTCGTTTAGGGGTAAAACGAAGTTCGAAATACGTGAGCAGCAGTATACTGTTATCGAACATCCTGACACCGCCCACTCTGATGAAAGCAACATTTATGCAACATAACATGAATATGTAAATATGTGCTGTGCGCTTTCCTCTCAGTAACAAAATAAACACAACAAAAACGGAGAAAACAGCAAGCATTTTTTAATAAAAAAGCATCTGTTCATAGCAACATGGGTATGCTTGCACGAGCTCTGCAAATTCCCGTGACGTCACGTGTATTTACATGGCACTTTATTCAATATATTGCTTAAATATATATACTCAGCAGTATTAAACATGAAAAACAGTGTCAGTGTCTCATTTAATTAAAAGCAAAACTTAATTTGCTACTATAAAGCAGCTCTCCACTGTGCGGATATCTCACCTCCAAGGACTCGACAGATGAAATGTACCCAGAGAAGAGTTCCGTGTGAAAGAAGGCGGAGCCTCAGCGCACACCTCCTATGACATAATCGTCACAGACCAATGGTAGTACGAAGGTGTTTTGCAGCCGGGAACAAACTGTTCCGGAAAGTTTGGCTTTGGCAAGCCGTTTCGAACTCCCAAAACAAACACAAAAAGAACTTCGGTTTGCCTGAATTTTGTTCGAAATGAAGTCACGTCAGTTCGTTCTTCGATTTCGCTTGAAGTATATCGGGGCCTTAAGGTTATCTATAAGCTAGTGTGCAACAAAACAATAACTAAATTCGCATTTAGAAGATATAAGCATTCAAAACTAACTTACAGTCTCTCACTTCCGCCGATAGAGTGGTAGAACTATGACGTCACTTTGTAGGCCAATCGGCTGTTAGCATCACACTGGTTCCCTCGACAAAGACCCAATAGGATTTTTCCATAGTCTTTTGGATTATCGCAAAAAATAAGCTCTGTGTTCAACCATAGTTCAGGATACTTATACGTTTTGTCCATCAAGGTAATATTCACAAAATAATATAACTTATGAATTTTTTAGCCTAAATACCAGAACTAAAAAGCTAAACTTAGGCTATAAACAAACTACACCACAGTCGCTCGCCTTCAACGTCACCACCTCCATTCTTCCAAACTATTTCAAACATATTTTTAGAAACATGTTCAGTGAAAAGGATTTACTCTGTGGATGAATTTTATTTTTCATATAAAAACTGGAATAATTACAAAACTAGAGCCAAACTAAAACTGAAATGAAACATTAATAATAAATAGTAAGTAGTGAATAAATGAAATTTAGGCTAAATTAAACGTAAGCACATATGAAAGCATGTATTTCTGTACATTTCGAAATAAAGTGCCTTAAGAGTCAATAAATCCTTGATTAATATGAATATTTTAATTAAAAAAACGTGTCTCCACATAGTATTCAATAGAATTCTAGCGCATTTAATCTATTAAATAACAGCAGAGTGAGCAAGTTTTTGGATATGGTAAGATTACATTTATTTTAGTTAATAAAGTACCACATTTCAGCTTATAATTTTTTAGGGTGGTTATACAAAATGTTATTTTATCCTTGCTTCTAGAAAATCCTCAGTCTTTCAGCTTTCTAACTATTTTATTTTAATGTGGCTTTAAGCACTATGCATAATTAAAGTTTTACTTTTACCTTGACCATGTAAAAGCCCGTAAATGTGGAGTTTACATGGAATAAGCCTAATCGTAATATGAGTTTACCTTATGGTACGAATCCAGAGTCTCTGCATCAGTAGGAAACAAGTGATAAAACGAGCATCTTCCATCCGAAGACTTGTGGTTGCATTTCGGGTGAATGATGTCAAGTTGACCGTTGCAAGATGGTGGACACATCTACGTGTTTGGAGCTGTCAAATGAGGCATCTACCTATACATATCTATGCCTGAGACAGCCTAGATAACACCTAATTGCCTAACACAGCTGTCAATCAAACTCATAAAGAATTATGCAAAACACATTTATTTTTGTATTTGAGATATTTTAATAGTTTTGTAATTGTGTTAAACAACAATTATTTAACAAATTATATTTGTATTATAAACTGGAGGGGACTATTTATCATAGTGGCCGCAGGCCTATCCACTGGCTACACCCCTGACTTGAATTGATTCATTTATTCACTCACTGGAGTATTACTTTCCAGCAAGCTACTGGCATCTTGCACAAATATCACTAATAACATTTTTTAAGAGCCCTTTAAAAAAATTAGCTATTTTCATATAATTTTGTAGGCTACTCCAAAAATCTGGCTTGAGATCAGCTTTAAAGTATATATGAACACAGTTCCCACTGCTATGTCATTGCATTTTCATTCTTAGTCTTTTTAAACACAGTACCCGTGTATTAGTAGGAGGATCAAGCATGTAGAATATGAGATATGCTGTCTCGATATCAGACAACGTCACTCAAATAATTTAAATTACTATTTTAATACGTACTCAAAAAGTTTCAATTTACGTGTTTGTCTGTCTCAGGGTTTGTTGCAGCAGCTGAGGCAGATTGTCAGCAGGATGGGGTCTGGCCCGCGAGGGGCTGGGCTGGGTGTGAAGCTGCTCATCGGAGCCGGCGCTCTTGCCTACGGGGTCAAAGAAGCCACATACACAGGTAAAACACATGTTAAAAATAAAGAAGGATTACGTTGTTAGGATCTATATGGGAGGCTGCAGACCTGGAGCAGGCAGATAAACGGCTGAGGCAGTTTTAGGCCCGTTGTTGCTGATGTGTCCAGTAGGGGGAGGAGGATATATGGCGAAATCATTAAAGGGATAGTTCACCCAAAAATGAAAATTTGTTGTTCATCTGCTTACCACCAGGGCATCCAAGATGTAGGTGATTTTGTTTCTTCAGTAGAACACATATGATGATTTTTAACTTTAACCGTTGC